CCCCCCCCCCGGTACCCCTCACTCCCGACCCGCAGCCCCTGTTAGCCCAGCCCTGCCCCCCCACTCTGCCAGTGCCCCTCATTCCCGACCTGCAGCCCCCAGTATCCCAGCCCTGCCCCCCCCCCACTCTCCCGGTATCCCTCACTCCCGACCCGCAGCCCCCTGCAAACCCAGCCCTGGGTCCCCAGCTCCACCAGAGCCCCTCACTCCTGACCCAGAGCCCCTGCTATCCCAGCCCTGCCCCCCCACACTCTGCCAGTGCCCCTCACTCCCAACCCGCAGCCCCCACTATCCCAACCCCAGCTCCCCACACCCCATCTTTGTTGTTGCCCTTCAGGACAAAAGGTCAGACTAACCCCCCGAGTCACATTTTCCCGGTGCACTCGGGGCTCAGGGCTGGTAGCCAGCCCCCCTCGCCGTCCCAGGGGTCCCAGCAGACGCGCCCGGCCCCATGGATCAGCAAAGCCTCCAGCTGATGGCCAATGATGCAGTGCCCGGGCGTCGCTGCGCGGCCCGTGACTCCCCGGGAGAGGGCAGCGGCGCCCACGGGTGCCCACTTGGCAGCCACCCACCTGTAGGTGGTGTGGGGGACATAGACCTCCTGGGCCGGGAACTCCAGGATCTCCTTGGTGGGCCGCACCCGGGGGTCCGGGTAGGGCTTGACGCGCAGCAGCTCCGGGGAGAGGCAGTAGTGGGGGCTCTCGGGCGCCGGCGAGATGTCCACCTTGAGCTGAGCTGGGGAGAGGAGGCGACGGGCCGTGAGGATCTCAGCGCTATGGGGCAGAGCCCCACGGCCAGAGCCGGCACGGTGGCTGATGGGAAGGGAGGGCCGTGGCTACGCTACCACACCGGACTGAGCCCAGGGGCTGGTGGGAAGGGGCTCGAGGAAGACCTCAACAGGGGATGGCGCTGGGCGCCTGGCCCAGGGCAGGGAAAAGGTGGGACCTGGGAGGGGGTGGAGCTTGGGGGTACATGGGGTGGGGCTTGGAACTCCCCTCCCCCAGGGCTGCCGGAGGCTCCTTTGGCCTCGATGTAGGTTAGAGCAGCCGTGAGGGCTGCCCTGGGTGCAGCAGCCCCTGTGGGTGTGGCTCTGCGGCTGCCCCCGGGGCCCCTGAAGGGGGCCTTACTGCTGCATACGGGCCCCTAACCCCCCCAACGCCCCCACGGTACACAGAGCCCGGCGGTGCCCAGCAGCCCCCACCGCCCGTGCCGTCCCCGCCAGCCGCACCTGTGATGGGCCGCAGCCGGCGCAGCAGCGAGGACGGACGCCTCATGTCCGCCAGGAACTTGTACAGGTCCTCGGCGCTCAGACGGTCGCCTTCCTGCTGGGCCGGGCGGGCGTTAGAGCAGAGGGGCTGCGGCGTCTGGCCCCGCCCCCAAAGCAAACACCCCCCCATGGCCCCAGGTGCCCCAAGCCCCGCCCCCAAACCAAATGCAGCCCATCGCACCCAGAGCAGCTCCGCCCCCCAAGCACCCTACATCCACGCCGAGCCCCACCCATACTAAAAGCAAAGCCCCCCCCCCCGCGCCAGCAGGGGGCGCCGCCCCTTACCTGTTTGAAGAAGTTGGTGACGGTGAGGGTGGCGGGGCGGAAGCTGGCGAAGCTGCACACCTCCTCCCCGGCGCTCATGCGCTCCAGCGTCCTCCGCTTGCGCTCGTTCCAGGTGCCCCGGCGCTCTGCCGGGGAGGGGAGCGGTCACCCTGGGCAAGGTGGGCTCCCGGCGGGCGGGCCCAGCAAAGCCCCATGGGCCGCGACAACCAGAGACGCGCCCGGCTCCACTGGGCCTGCCGGCCGCCCAGGGAGAACCCCGGCAGCAGCCAGCCTCTTCCCTGGGTGGCCCCCAGCTGAGCTGGACGACGAAGGATTTTTTTGCAGCCACCTCTGGGGTGGGAGGCAGCAGCTGCCGAAACAACCACTGGCAAGAAACCTGCAGCCCACTGTACCCGCGGGCGGGCGGGGGGGGCTGGGGGGTGCGGTCGGCACTCGGACGCGGGTAACAGGAACTGTTCACCGCCAGCAGCAGCCAGGACCTGGCTTTAGATCAAAACCCCCTGCAGCACAGCGCCCCCTAGCGCCGCCCTGGGGCCAGCCCTG